CGATGAAAGCAGAGATGGAAAAGATGGGAAACAAGGTGCTTGAGCTGGAGAAAGAATGTCATATGATGAGAAGGGAAATTCAGAGAGGTAGTTACCAGCACAAGATTCAAAAGGAAAAAACAAGCATGTGGAAAGAAATGAAGAGGAAGATAGGTTGTATGACAAGTTTGCAAGAGACAAATTGCCATGTGAAGAAGAAAAAAGTCCATCCAAGATAGAAGATATCTTGATAGGGTACTTACTGAATAATTGAGTTCACATTTGCATTCTCTTTGAAAATTTAAGAGTAGTTTGATGATCTAAACGTTCTCAGTCCAACCGACTTCACTCAAAGTAACAGAAGAGGTTGGTAGGACTGTTATTTTGTAGCTTCTCCAAAAAATAAATCAGACCTATATGGACCTTAATGTTCTAAGTTTAAAGCATATGTTTATTTATTAAAAGCGAAAAAAACCTTTCACCTATTTGCAATTCTAGGTGTCTTAACTTGTGCACACACTTGCATAGACTTCGGTATGGTGCAAGAATAGAACAGAACTATTGAAGGCCTAAAACCATATTTTATAGCACAAGTGCAAGAAACTAGTTCATTGCAACAAAGCCAAAATGACAGTACACAAACAGTTATCTTCACATGTGATGAATATTGATAATACACAAACAGTTAACATAAGTGTGTTCACAGAGACCTGTTTTCCAGCAAACACTTCCAAAACAAACAATATTTCCCAAAAGCAGAGTCAATACATCTTAAGTTCAGAACTGTACATAATTTCGCCAACAAAGATGCAGTTCAACAGCATAGGTTTCATGTTGATAGCTAAAAACCTTGAACACAGTTTCTGCACCCATAAGGATTCACCATCTTCCTCAAAAGAAGAAAGAGCTTCTGATCAAGAGTACATAATTAATGATCACAATTATTAGCTTTACTTTACTAATTGTAGTAACATTATTTGTTCCCAAGTCCCACCCACCCAAGCTTGAGGAATATGTGATTCCCATATCCTTCTTTAGTAATTGTAACAACTGAAGCATTACAAATACATGTTACAATTCGTCGGTTGGATTGATGTAAGACGAGAAGGTATCTGAAGTGCACACGACCGCAATTATACTGATGCAGAATAAAGGAAAGAACTGTAAACATCATATGGTATCAATTCCAATGCAAATAGACAATAGATTGATGAATTTTATTAAACACTTTAAACTACATACCTCCATTATAATATGCAGAATGAAGGTGGAAACAAAACCAGAGCCTAATGATGAAGTGGTTGTGGAAGTTTGCAAATGAAGACAACATGCTCCGGAAAGAGGTCATCATAGCAAAATATGGTATGGAAGATAAGTGGATTACTAAAATGATAAGTTCTCCATATAAATGCACTGTTTGGAGGGCAATCAGAGATCTATGGTCAGTGCTATATCACAGAACCAAGGTAGAAGTGGGAGATGGTTCAAAGACATCCTTCTGGGAGGACAAGTGGAATGGGACTGTCCCTATGAAACAGTTGCATCCTGAATTGTTCATTTTATGCCAACGTCAACAGGCCACTGAGGCTACAATGTGGACTAGACAAGGATGGAATTTGTTCCTAAGGAGGAACTTTCGTGACTGGGAGATAGACAAAGTGGCAGAATTTCAAGATTCATTAGGCTCTTTCAGCAACCTCACTGAAAAGGACTTATTGGTTTCGAAGAATGATACCAAAGGTAAATTCTCAGTAAATTCAATTTATAAGGAACTCAACAAGAATGCTGGACAGGAGACAGAATGACCATGGAAGATGATCTGGAAACCAAAAGTACCCTACAAAGTAAGCTGCTTCATGTGGTTATTGACAAAAGGAGCAGTTTTGACTCGTGAAAATCTAAAGAAAAGAGGCTATCAGTTGGCTTCTAGATGAACTTTATGTGGAGAACATGCTGAGACAATTAACCATCTGTTTTTGCATTGTACATGGACAGAACAGCTATGAAGAATGTTCATCTGTCTAAAGGGGATAAGATGGGTGAAACCAGGGAGCATTAAAGGAGTCCTAAGCAGCTGGAATATAGATGGAAATGCATCAGATAAGGAGAAGAGATAGAAACTAGTCCCAATATGTATTTGGTGGACAATTTGGAAACAGATAAACAACAGGAGTTTTGAAAATGGGCAGAATAGCTTAGAGGAGATCTAAATGAATTGCTTAGCTCTTTTTTATTTTTGGTGTAAACAAGATATATTAACTAGGACAGAAAACATCTTTGAAGTGCTAGATTGCTTATAGGCAGCAGTTTAGATTAAGACTGTTTTACTCTGTAAGTTGTAATATTTTTGAAGGGGAACTGCACTTTTGTTATAGTATACCTATGGATGTATAGACTAAAGTTACCAGTTTCAAAAAAAATTATAATATGCAGAAGGCCTCTTTATCATTGTAGTAGGATTTAGGAAAGATTTCAAAGTCCAGTCACAGCCATCAAAATGCTCATAATTCATTGGTAAATCAGCCAGAATAGAAACTTTCATGCAAATTACTTCAAAATTTTGTGATGCCTAAAAAGGTAGCACTTGTTTGCTTCTGCACCTGCAAAATTTCAAGACATCCTATAACGGACAAGCAGCAATCCCCCCTAGTATAAACAATTAAATCACTAGAACTGGCAAGCATAACTTTTCAAAATATTATGGCGTTCATAAAGACCCAAGGATGTGGTTTACCTGTTGATCAAACTGAAATGATTTAAATCTCAGCTGAAGGAAAAAAAGCTATGTGATTTTCTTTTTTTGGTGAAGTAAATTGCATTAGAAAGGCATGCAAGATTACATAGAGAAAGAAACTAATAGCCTCAGAAAATTGCTACATGAAGCTATAGCAATAAGCAAAAACCTGTTGAAACAGTCAAAAGAATGCTACCTTGGAACTCTTCTAAGAGTCAAGAAGCTATGTGATTTCTTCCCATCTATCTAGTTTTTCATGACCGCAATTATCCAGTACTCATATATGTGCAATATCTGGTGGAGTTGAGATCCTTGCAAGTTGGCCTAGCTACTACAATTGTTTTCCCAAAAGAAGAAGAAAATGTTATGATGTTCATGCGACAAATATGTAGTTCCTCAACATTCTGAAACGCTGCTATGCTTTAATTACCAAATATCTCACTATGAACTAATGACAGTAACAGGTAACAGATGATACTGTCTGCAGAAATAGACAGCCTTCCTGAACAGGCCTAACCTAGAAGGTCTATAATTCAAGTTAAAATCCTAACACCCACTGTTACTTAAATTGAATTAGGCGGTCAATGCCTCTCCTAAGAGTTGGTAAACTAAATGAAAGAAAATATAGAGGTGATCAAACTTCTTGAACAATAAGAATTACCATTAAAAACGATGATAATGGTCAAATGACAATAATGTTAACAATATTTTTTTGGAAAGTGAAGTATCAAGATACTTACCATGAGCTAAAATCATATTGACTTTCAACCTATGCAAAAGAAATAAACCTCTGATAATAACTAAAATAGCACATGATTTCCCTTGATAAAGAACAGGAACCACCTTACCAGCTTTTAGGATGAGTTTTCCAGCCATGAGGAAGCAGCTTCATGTTTTTCCAGGATTTTGAGACTATCTTAGCTAGATTTCTACAGAGAAGATAATTACCCTTGATAAAGAACAGGAACCACCTTACCAGCTTTTAGAATGAGTTTTCCAGCCATGAGGAAGCAGCTTCATGTTGTTCCAGGAGTTTGAGACTATCTTAGCTAGATTTCTACAGAGAAGATAATACTGGAGGAGAAGAAAAAAATAACCTGCTCCTCAGTAAAGAGCAACTTTATGTACAAGATAGTTAGAATATGTTATTCAAACCCTGTAATGGGCTTCAGCAGTGAATGATGTCAGGATATCGCTTCAGGTCATTTCATTTGGTGTGTCAGAAAACAAAAGTACTGCAAAGTTTTCCAAGGTACACCAAGCTGTAAAATTGTTTAAAATGATAGTAGTCCAACAGCAACTGTGGGTGCATTTCTACTACTTCTGTGGATCATGTATATATATATACTCATGATCCATGATCTGAGACTGAGAGTGTAAACCTCAGAAAGAAGTTACAAAAGGAAGAAGGTTGTGAAGGTTCACACGATGGATGTTGTATGCAATGACAGCCTTACTCTAGCTGGCAACTCTTTTTTTATACCAGTTACTGAAAAGCTGGTATTTTTTCTCAATTTCAAAGCTTATGGCTTCATAATTAATGTCGAAAACCTAAGATTCCAGAAGTTTTTCTATCCCGGAAACAGAAAAGATTAGACAAGTTTGACACGCCATCGAATTAGTTGTGGGAAAAACTGAAGGGACAAATTTCTCTTAGCTGGCAGGATTAATGCAATCAGAGCCAGGTGTGGGATGTCTTCCATACAGTTATGTCCTATTGTTAATGAATGCTTTTTCTATCAGAATTTTAATTTTTTTTTTGGTTTTAATATATCCATTGGTCTTCATTAATCAATTGTTTTTTCCTCCGTTGTTGTTTCATCCTTCCACTTTGGTTCTTGTTTGAGTCCTTGTTCAGCACCCTTCATTACTGAACAATGACAGCAGGGATCCTAGCTCAGTTCATAAAATTCGCAACAAACTTAACACTATTGCCTTGTGCAATTATTTTTTATTCTAAGTACCCTTCAACAGAGGCCTTACCTTAAAAAATTGGTCGTAATATTCAATAGAGATTTTAAAACCTTTTAATTGGATACAAAAGAATTACTTGGTAAAAAATTTTTTGACTTGATTAAGTATTAGCAAGAGATAGGCAGCAAATGGAATTTAGAACAAGAAAAAAGGAATCAACAAGTAACATCAACTAATGATGTCAAATTTCAGAACTCATATTAGATACAAGTTGCTGCAAAAAAAATGATACAGAATTTGTTAAATTTGATGGCACAGTAAATGTTGTTAGGCTAGCTGTTAATAGAAATATGAAAAGACCATAATCAACATGTTGAAAAATCATCCAAACTCCAATCACATTTTATTGGAACTTCTTGCCATAACATGTGATACAGACAAAGCCCAAGTATCATAAATTGCACAACCTCTTTGCTAAAATCTATTTGAATGAAAAAGTTAGGGCTCAACTATTGACTCATGTACTTGAGAAAGGAACTGAACACTTTATGAGATACTTATCTTCTTAAATCTGTACACAAGAGACTCTATTGACTTTTGTATCCTGGAGTTTTCTGTTTGTTTCACTGCCAGGGAAGCTTGATGCAAACTTTGGATTCCACGACCCAAACTGGCAATTGAAGGAGCTGCTGGAAGAGATTCAGCAACACATTCTATTCCATCTCCATACACAAGTAAGCTCGCACAAGTAACTACACTGCACCCAAAGGTAGCCCATGGCAGAAAGCCAACGGGTCGTACTCGGTGTTTCCTCATAATTTCATAGAATGCCGTTCTCATGGCTGAGATGCTAGTTTTCTCTGCAGAGGCTATAACGCCGTGCGCCACGGCACGGATTTTCTCTGCAGAAGCAGTTGCCTTAAGGACAGATGATTTGACACCAGAACTTGCCATTGCAGGGCCTGCTACGTTTGACTTTCCAAATGCAAGAGCAAGGGCCTTTTGGGTTTGAGTGATCATGATTTTTAGAGAAGCAGGGACTTTGAAGGTAACAACCTTCAATATTGTAGATGCAGGAACAACTTTAGAAAATGAAGAAGCTCCCAAAACTGCAGTTGCACCAGCCCCAACAGCTACCACTGGCTTAACAGCTAGTAACCCTTTTTTGTCACTTTGGCTTGAATTGTCCCCATCGTCTTCAGAGTCAGTGACCAGCTGCTCAACAATTTCCTTTACTTCCTCAGGTACATTAACACTCCAGTGCTTCCTTAGTCCAGCTAAGCCACTGGCATCTACTACTGCAACTATTGATTTGAACTTCTCGGTCTGACTTCGGAGGGACTGTGCAACAAGGGCATGGGACTTGTCCTCAATAGAAAGCTCAGAAAATTCAGTCGTAGGACACCCCATTTTGCTAAGTGGGAGCCGACCAGCATTGTTCAAAGCAATTCTTAACCCTTCAACTGCAATCTTGAAGACATAAACCTCAGAAAGAACATCTGTATTAACAGCATCTCCATTACAAACATCATGAAACATCTTTTGAGCACAAGCTAGAGCTCTTCCTATAGAGGGAATATCAACAAAAATATTATATAGATCCAGGAGCAAAGGATAAACTGTCTGTGCAAACTGTGGTACTTGATAATTCAACTGTTGCTGAATATCCTCAGATCCAATCTTTTGTAAGGAACTTGAATTGACCAAATGTGATGACAACAGCCTCACCATCTGAGACTGAACATCATTTGTAACACGAAATCCATGAGAATTTCCTGACACCATTAACCCCGTCCTTAGAGGAACCAAACTATTACCAGCCTCTAAGCCAAACACTCCAAGCATATTATCATACCCCTCCTCCAAACCAAACACTCCAAACTTATTCTCGAACCCCACATCCCCCACATCAGAATACTCACCAGACAAACTGCATTTAACAAACGGTGACTCAAGCAACAAGAAAGCCGAACCAACCTCTTCAGCTGCTTTCTTGGCAGCAGGGAAATGCCCATCAAACCCAACCCCAAATATCTCTCTCAAAACAACTCGCCCCGCCACATTCTCATACTTCTCCTTACTAGTTTTATGCACAAAACACCTCTTCAAAACCTCAATCGACGAAGTTGGTACCGACTCCTCCTCCTCTAAATCACCACTATCTCTCAACCCAATTCCCTCATTTTCATGACCATCTACAGAATTACCCACTTGGACAACTACAGCCTCAGGCTTAACTTCCCTAATCAAACACTCGGCATCAACAGCAGATCGCTCAGATAAATTCTGCACACACAATACGTATATAACAGCCTTCGATTCAGGTTCTTGAATTGCATAAACGAACTGTTTGGTACTTTCGGGTATTCCTAATTTCCTCACAAACCCATCTGAAATTCTCAAATCATTGGGATTTAATACAGAAAAAGGCCACAGATTTTGCAAATAGCTAAAACCCCACATGACCATTAATAGCTAATGCATCAAGAATCGATTAAACCCACAATTAACATCAAGAAATTAAACTCTAATGGACTTAATACTGATTATAAATGGTGTGATTATGGAAGAACAGTATGAAGAAAAGAGAGAAATGGAAGAAGGGTTACCTGGCGTTGATGAAGAAAGTGGCAGTTTTTTTATTTTTTTGTGTGTGTGTTGAAGCGATGAAATTATCTAATTATAATTAAAGGAAAAAGAGTCTGATATACCCCTCAATTTTGTCATTTAGAGCTGATATACTCTTCGTTATAAAAGTGGCTCATATATACCCCTACTTATATACAAATGGCTCACATATAACCTTTTCCTCTAACGGATATGAAAAAAATTAATTTTAGTTTTATTTTTTAATTTCAAAAAAATATAATCCCATATGAGTATATTTAATCCTCCTCAAACATATTTTTTTTACTTTTTTTGTTTCAATGACTAATTTAGATTTATTATTTTGATGGTTAAATTTATTTATGTTTCACTAATATTCTTGTAAAACTTATTATAGATGACCAAATTCTTTCTTCAAATACAAAAATTAAATTACAATATAGACAAAAAAAAATAGTTTTAAATTATAATATAGCCACAAAAAAATAATTTTAAATTTTTTTCTTTACACTAAGGAATGAAAGAAAAAAATAAAATAAGAATAAGAAACTCAAATAATTATAATCAAAGAAGTCAAAAAATAATTTATGTATGAAAAAGATTAAAATAACCTTGAACTTTGCTAGAAGAATCATATATACCCCTAAATAATTTTTAAGAAAATTGAAAGTAAAAAATATAAATTTAAAACTAATTTTTTCACTTCCGTTAAGTGAAGGGTATATGTGAGCTCATTTGTAACGGTAGGGGTATATGTGAGCCGTTTGTATAACGGTAAGGGTATATATGAGTCACTTTCATAACGAGGGGCATATCAGCTCCAAATGACAAAGTTGAGGGGTATATCAGGCCCTTTTCCCATAATTAAATAAAGAAATAAAATCCTCGAGTTTAGTTTTTTTTTTTTTTTGTCTATTTTATCTTTTAATTTAACTTTTAAGCTTCACGAATAATTTACTTTAAGGAATTTACATGGAATATGATTAATTTAATAATAAAGACTTTTTACGTCTGAATTTAGGGTATTTATTAATTATTAGATCTAACTTCAAAAAAAAAAAAAAACTTGGTCATGTGCTTTTGTGGTTATTTTAGTTTTTTTTTTTATCAGATAAATGTAATTAAATTAAATCATGTCAATAATGATGAGGTGAAATTTTAAGCTCTATCCTATGAACAAAAAGGCATATATTACGTTGGAATACTCTGAATTTCAATCTCTTACTAATAATTTAGTTTTCTATTTAAAATTTCATTTAACATGAGAAATAACATGATCAACAATCCATTTTAAAATTTATTCTTTTCTCATGTTAAACATTGGAGAAAAAGGAATTGTTTTCTTTAAGAAATTAAATATATGAAAATAATACGAATAACTAATTCGAGATAACTAATATGAATAATTAGAGATAACTAATTTATTTTGCTCACCAATTTTTTCATCCTCCCAAAACTCTACCCTCCTCTCCCATCATTCCCATATGATCACCATATTTTAATCTTTTTGGGAGATTTACAAGCTATATTTTGAATTAGAACGATTCATTTATTATAACTTAATTAAGTAAGAGATAAGGCACAAGTATTCCCTAGACTATGATCGAAATCTCAGAGACATATCTAAGCTAACTAGGGTCTTATTACCCTCCTGAACTCATTTTTTTGTATTTTTGTGCACTTTTTGTGTTGACGTGGCACCTTAAACCACCCAAGGTGGTTGTGTTTGTACACAGTCACTCGCCTGCCATGTGTGTAAATATTTTTTTATTTTTTAAAAAAGAATATTCTTATTTTCTTTATCTTGTATTTAAATTAAGTTAATACACATTTTTTAACCTTGTATCTGAACCTTTTTTTTTACCTTCATTCATTGTTTTTTCTATTTTATTTTTCTATTGATTTTATTTTCTTTGTCTTTTGTTTTGATTTGATTTCAAATTTAATTCCAAATGTCTTGTATTTAAAATAAGTTAATTTTGAACATATATCAAAATAAGTGAAGTAAATCAAATAAAACATAAAAAAATTCAAACGTTAAAATTAAAGGACACTTTTAAATTATTTTTTAACAAAAATACACATAATTTTTTAAATATAATTAAAAGTGAAAAAATAATAAATTAATTTTAAAAAAAAGTTTAAAGTGAAAATAAATTAAGAGAAATATTTTACAAAGCAAGAAATAAAAATAATTAAATATATATAAGTTTTAATATCAATAAATATGTGTCCTAACTAATTATAAAGCTACCTATAAAAATATGACATGTGTCCAATATACTTTCTATGCCATGTCAGCATTTGTGGGTATTTATTACATTTTAAATTAGTTTAGAAGGTAATAAGACCCTAATTAAATTTAAGTGTGTCTCTGAAATTTCGATCATAGTCTAGGGGGTCCTTGTGTTTTATCCCACTTAAGTAATGTTAATTTGCATTTTGAATAATAGATTATTATTATTTTTTTTACGATTTATAACATTTTTTATTTCTTAACTATTGATATATAAAATTAAATTTTGATCTTTATAATAAATGATTAAGTAACTGAAATGTGAAATTTTTGTTTCGTTTGCATTTGAATATTAACAAATTTACCATATATTGATATCAAATATTGCAAAACAGAATAATATAACATTCCTACCTAAAATAACTAAAATCCACAATTTAATTAATTAAAAATTCAATGCAATTCATAAGATATTACAAAAAATAAATTATGAATTTAATAATAGGTGAAGAATGAAAAGTATTATTATTTTAATTCTTTGAATCGTCAATTATCACAGTGGTGAGCTTAAAGAAAAGTTTCGAACAAAAGACATAAATAAATCAGTGCATTCAAAGGCATGAAACAGGACTTTCCCCCACAAATTTAACTTAATCAACAAGATTTAGACCTTTCCACACAAATTGCATCAAACTTTGATTATCATTAACATTGAAGGTTAATATAGCAATAAAAAAACAAAGTATTTTTTTTATTCGATATTCAGTATTTATATTTAAATTCAATCAAATTCATATTCATATTGGGCATTAAATTTTATTTTTTACCTGATGTCTAATATATTATTGGAGTCTGACTAAATCTGAATATTTGCATGGAGAGTTAGAGGTTGGAATTGACTAATAAATTCTATCAAACTCTATGTATTAACCAAATGGTATTTAGTAGTTTCAATTCCTAATTCTATCTCTTTAATTTGTTTTGATTTTGACATTTCATCTTAACCTTATTCAATTTTAACCCTTCAATTCCATTAATAATGCTCTCCCTGTTTCCATGTTAACTGAATTTTTAGGAATTTTTTCATTATTCAAAATAATTGAATTCTTCAAAGTTCAAGGTGAATGTTTGATTTTTTTTTCTTTATATTTGTCCTTTCCTTTAATAAAGTTTGATATTTTTTGAAAGATAAATTGCACTACTTATAAAGTTACATTTATGATTTCGCAAAGGACAATAATATAAAATATAGTTTAAATTAGGAAAACTTACATAAATATACTATATTCAAAAAATATTTACCATTTATAGCAATAACATATTTTTTTTCAGTTGATCACTTTTAATACATTTATAGTATAGTTTTAATACATATTACAAGAATAATTTATAGAACACATATAATACACTTATAATACAATGTGTCAATTTATTACCAAACAAGCATAATATATTTAAAAAAACAGTTATAATACATATATATTGCATACATAATTCACTTTTAATACATATTGCATATTTATCATAATATTGCTATATATTGTATAAATGATAATAAATAAAAAAATATCACTAAAAATCAGTAATTATTTATTAAAAGGTACTCATTCAAGTAATTTTTCCTTTTAAATTATGTCTTTCAATGTTTTTCTTAATAAGTGTTCAGTGCCTCACAAATCAATTAATATGGAATATAGAGAGTACTTTCTTTGTCCTACATTAGTTATCCCATAATGCTAATCTAATTGTCCTAGATTTTGTCAATTTACAAAATTAAGATAGAATTAATTCTACCTTTTAAGTTTTATCTATATAATTTTTTGAAAGTATAAATAAGTTTAATGTTTTTTAAATAAGAGCTAAATTAGTATATTCATATTTTCTTAAAAGACATAAAAAGAAACTGGACAATTAATATGAAACATAATTTTTTTTTTTGGTTTTCCATTTGGTGTCCGGAGCCAATATTGGAGCTCCGACTAAATCCGGATCGCGCTCTGCAGGGTCCATTTGAGGGTGGCTCTCCCAGTTGAATTTTCTCCATACCCAGGGCTCGAACCCGAGACCTCTGGTTAAGGGTGAAGCACTCCCACTAGTGCACCGTAACCCATGTTGGTATGAAACGGAAGAATTACACTATGTTTGGATCATTGTTACCCATTGTTTCATAATGTATTGTATTGTATTATACTCTTTTGTACTGTATTGTATGATATATACAATATTTGGCTAGACTATATTGTTTGTTGTTGTTTAGTAACATTTTTATTGTTTGATTTGACTGTATCATATTGTATTGTAATTTATAAATTTACTAAAATATCCTTAATTATTCTAGGGTTGGAGGTTTGGCGAAAATTAAATAATATAAGGTAAGGGTAAAATAGTATTATGAAATATTATGTAAAAATATAATTGGAAAAAAAATTTAAGTAACAATGGAAACACACCAAATTGGTTGTTCCATAAAATGGGGGTTTTCATTGTTACTTAAAAACGGAATTTAACAATACAATACAATACATTTTAAGTAACAATCAAAACAAACATTGTAGGTATAACAACAATACAATACAATGAGTAACAATGATCCAAACAGAGTGTTAGTAAAACCTAACCTAAACTCTTTTTAATGGAAAATAAATAAATGATGTTTAGGAATTAGGAGGAAGAAGTAAGCCGCCAGCCAACAGGCACACTGAAGTCACGTGCCTCACACGTGTCTCCTTATAGAAAACGACACCTCTGTGTTCTCCTGACTTTCACTATGAGT